CAGCTGAAGTCCCGTCACAGCTGTCCCCACTGGTTACAAACATCCCCACAGGTGTGTCCTGGACCCCGACCCTGGTCCTCACTGTAGTTCTGCAGACTTATGAGGACACACTGATCCTTGTAATCATGAGGACCTGCTGTTTGCACTCTACACCTGTGCAGGTGATACTGTTTTTGTTTCTCAGGTCTTCGTGGCACGAAGATGACCTCACCAACCACGACCCCGACTCCAAGGTGAGACAGCAACATTAATAATACCTGATTCTGTCAAATAAATAAAAACTCTGTCACTTTAACTCTGACTGGGGCCACAGCGCCCCCTGTGGTTATGGTTCATTTACACAGGTAATAAATTAAGGGCACATTCGACTTCCTGTGTGAACATGATGAAAATGATGGAGAGGTTTCTGGAACGACGTGTTGAACACAGAAACGAGAGGTCCTCGTTGGTCCAGGACTTATTCTGGTGCTCTAATCTGCGCTAATCTCACTCTCTCTCTCTCTTTGTTTGTGTCTGTGTCTCTCGACCTCGTTTTATTGCGCATTAATCTGATTTAATCTCTCTGCCTCTGTGTCCTGGTTTCTGTTTGTCACCCATCAACCTACCGTCTGTCTCCCCCTCCACCTGTCTCCCCCTCCACCTGTCTCCCCCTCCACCTGTCTCCCCCTCCACCTGTCCAGTGTTTTGCCGTGCGCTCCTCGGCTGGCTGCAGGTGGAGGAGGAGGACCTTTCTCCTGGTCGCAGCAGCCTCGCTGTTAGTAACGTCATCCAGCAGCTGTCTCACTGCAGCAGCCCCGAGCAGAGAGACCGGCTGGGTGCCTGGGGGGAGGTGAGACACCTGCTGCCCTCCTGTGGCAGGATGCAGGAAGTGCACGTGTGTCCTGTGGAACCTGTTTATCACCTGTCCATCCACCTGTCTGTCTGCAGGGCCGCGAGATGATGCTAGTTCTGAAAAAAGACACCCTGACCCTGTTGGACCCATTAGACCACACCCCCCTGCACTGTCAGCCAATCATCAATATCCGTGTTTGGGGGGTGGGCTGCAACAATGGCAGGTGAGCCAATCAGAGAGCGTATTTCCCCGCTTCCTGTGTTTGTGCTTCGCTGACCTGAACTCCTGGTTTGTGCTCCTGCATGCTTCGGTTTGTTTACACTAACTCTCTGTGTTTCTTTGCCACGCCCCCTCACACCTGGGCAGGGACAGGTAAACCACTACCCTTACACTCACAGCCTCCTCCACATGTCAGGGTCATTAACTGAGTTCAGCTGCTGATCACCACCTGATCGGTCCGCTGTGTGTGTGTGTGTGTGTGTGTGTGTGTGTGTGTGTGTGTGTGTGTGTGTGTGTGTGTGTGCGCGTGTGCGTGTGCGCGTGCGTGTGCGTGTGTGCGTGTGCGTGTGCGTGTGTGCGTGTGTGCGTGTGTGTGTGGTGCATTCAGGGACTTTGCCTTCGTGGCGGGGGATAAGGACAGCTGTGTGCTGAAGTGTCACGTGTTTCGCTGCGACGCTCCAGCCAAAGCCATCGCCACGGCGCTGCATGAGATGTGCTCAAAGGTCAGTGGAGGTCACCCACATCTCAGGGTCACCTGCAGCTGTGGGTCAGCTGGTTTACCTGAGAGGTCAGAGGTCAGCGTTTTTTACTCCGCTACACTCTGTGTTTAGATGATGTCTGAGAAGGCTCTGATGAGGCCGTCCCGCTCCCTGACCATGGAGAGCATCTCACCTGAGGACCTGCCGAGACAAGGTGAGTCACCTGCCGTGCGTCCTTAGTGTAGACGCTGCGCTCTGATTGGTCCTGCACTAATTTTGGCTGATTATTGATCTTGCTGTCGTTTCAGTGGAGTTTCTGGAGGCAGTGCGGCAGCAGGTGCAGAAGTTTGAGGTCCAGTACATCGGCAACCTGCCGGTGTCGCGAGCCATGGGTAGGACATAAACACACCTGTCACACCTGGGCTGAGCTCAACCATTAATATGCATTCACTGGAAACACTGGTGCTTTGGACCATGATATACACTCATGTACAGCACGCACATACAGGTGATCATCAGACAACCATGATGCAGACTTTCAGCTTTAATTCAAGCGACTTAACAAAATACTGCTCTAATTATTTAGGATCTTTTTTATACACGGCTCCCACAGTAACAACATGAGACCAGGTGAGTCCTGGTCATGAAACCTGGAGATGCACAGCTCAGCTGAGCGACCTGAAACTGGCCTGAAGCGCCACAGGGAACATCTGACGTGGACGATCGCAGATGTTGAGGTCTCCGATCAGGAGGGCCTCGGTGGAAATAAAGCCCTCTGTGAATGTTTAGTGTAACCAGTAGGAGTGTTTTAATATTGTGTGATTAAAAGGTTAAAGGTCGCTGATGTGTGTCGCAGGTATGGAGGTGTTGAACCGAGCGATAGAAAGCATCATGAACTCCACAGACCGAGACGACTGGGAGCCGACCGTGATCCACGTCACCGATAACGTCCTGTCTCTGTGGAAAGGAGAGGTACAGTCCTCGATGCACATAGACTTCAGGTCAAAGGTCATCATGGCTGTGTTTAACCCTCCTCCTGTCGTGCTGACAGGACGGCGACGAGCCATTCTGGGAGTGTCAGGTACGCTTCCTCACCTTCCTGGGCGTCGGTCACGACAGCCACACCTTCGCAGTGATCGTGGATGGCGGCACGCAGCAGTTTGAATGTCACGTGTTCTGGTGTGAACCGGACGCTGGGATCATCTCCGAGGCCGTCCAGGCTGCGTGCATGGTGAGAGATGCAGGTCACGGACATCACACTGATCACCTGACGTACACTCAGAGTTTTGGTTTGAGGACTTTGTTGATATATTGCATAAATATTGATCTTAAGAATAAATCATTCCTCTGGCGCCCTCTGTTGGCTGCTGTTGCTCCTTCAGGTCCAGTATCAGAAGTGTCTGGTGGCTCAGACTCCTCCCCCAAGGACCAAATCATGGCGTGCAAACCCGTCAAAGGTGAAACGGGCCAACTCCATGGATGGCGCCGCCTTCCCTCCCCTCACATCCCGTCACCATGGCGGCAGCAGCTCCAGCATGATGGCGCAGAGGATGGCGAAGGGTAGCGGCAGCAGCAGCAGTGTGAGGAAGGGCATGATGGCGTTTTTTGAAACTTTCCGCAACAAACAGGCCGCCACGTCCTAATGATGAAGGCGGGACCACCAGAGCCCCCAGGGGTTAGGGTAGCTGATTCTCCAGATATGTTACCCCTGACCACACTGGGCCTCCAGACCGGCCTCTGATTGGCTGAACTCTGTGCACATAGGGCTCTGGTGGTTCGCCTGGCTGAGTGACATCACCAGCAACTCCAGAACACGATGCTTGGACCACAAACACACCTGAATCAGTCGCTGTGATTGATCAGCAGGATGAGTGAAGGACGAAATCGATCAAAACCTCCACCAACACGTCCGAAAGTTTAAAGGCTAGCAGGTTCATCGCTGAAAACATCCATCCACACCATAAACAAGGCTGAGCCCTGACCTTTGACCCTTCAGCTCCATCTGTGCACATAGAACCGAGGTTATGAGTCGTAACTGAAGTTCATTTTCTTGTTCCCTGTCGTCACAGCTCCTCCCCTCGAGGGGCGGAGTCACATCTGCTCCTCCTAACTGTGAGGCGTTTGATTTGAGAGGTAACATCATCAGTCTCTGTGTGTGACTGATGATGTTAGAGTTACTCACAGTTACTCACAGAGTTCAGGTGAGGCCGTGGCAGTCACTGTGTGTGACTGCCACGGCCTCACCTGAACTCTGTGCGGCTCTCCAGGGTCTGTCACCACCACAAGCACAAACGAGCACAAACGAGGGAGGAGCAGAGGAGGTGGCGATCGGCTCAAAGGGTAACAGTGAAAATCCGCCCACGTTAGTAAAAAGGACCGCTTCACATCCAAGGTGGAGGAAGACTTCCTGTAAACAGAGGACACGTAGCAAAAACTGTAGAGACGCGTCTGTTTGTTCTGCTTTGAGCTTCATTATCGTGTTTTAAAGCTGCACTGACTAACTCGGCCACCAGAGGGCGATGAACACGCGCTGGAGAAACAGACTGAAGATAAACTGGCCTGTTTCCTGTGCTGAAAGCAGCAGTTTGCATGCAGGCATGAACTGAAACAAATGCCACGCCCACAGTGACATCTGACTCTCCTTCTGCTTCCTGATTGGCTGACGTACCCTTAAATAGAAGCTGTGCTGTATTTACTGTTATTAGGTAAGATTGAGTTTCTGAGCATCTGACAGGCTGTCGTTGTTTCCTCGCAGTAAAAGTGATCAATGATGTCATGTATAAATGAACCAATAATAAACTGATAAAAACATTTTTTTCTGGTATGAAACTCGAGCAACAGCTGTTTAAAGAAATAATTTATATGTAAAAAAATTGTATTTATTTTTTACACATTAAATTAAATAAAAATGTAAAAAACATTTATAATGAATATAAATATTTTAAAAGTAAGCACAAAAATCATACAAGTAATAAAAATGTTAATAAAATAATAAATCTTATTAATACAAATGTAAAACATTATTATCTATGAAACAATAACACATATAATGGGAAAGAAAAATCGATATTATTATTGTTTGTGTAAAACAAAGACAACAAATAACAAAATAATAAAACAGAAACAGTTAAAAACGATTTTAAAAAGTGAAAAATAAAATATTAAAAATGTAAAAAAGACAGAAAAACAGAACCAAAAATGAAAAATATTGAAAAATTAAAATACGTTCAAAGATGATAAATTATCAACAAAAAAATAAAGAGATGAGGCTGAATGTTATTGATCAGTGATCAGTTTGTATGAGCAGATATCTCTGAAGCTGTTTCCAGGGTGACTCCTGAAAGCTGCAGACTTTATTTGGCTTCCTGTGAACTAGTCTGAGCCCAAACGCTGTAAGAAAAACAAACAGGAAGCCACCATCAGTGGAGCAGGAGCAGGAGGAGGAGACCTCACCTCCTCTGCCTCTGGCAGCTGTCTGCCCTCCTCAGCCCGTCAGTCGTCTGTCAGCTCACCGGAGAGAAAATCAATGATTTAGCAGAAGTTTGTCTTCAGCTGGAAGGTGAGTTCAGATTCTGTCACACCAGACTCCATTTAAAAACCACACGTTTAAAGGCTCTGTGATGACTGCAGGTTTCTTACAGGCGGGCAGCAGACTGAGGTCAAAGTTTCCTGGATTCTGACGTTTTTTTGCAGTGAGGTGGGTTAAACAGAGACGAACTGAAGAGACGACACTTTGAAACTGTAAAATTCCAGAAGTGTAAAATGAATTAGTTTGGAATTCTTAGGATTGCTTGTAAAACCTTAAATTGCAGGATTCGTGAATGGAGTCTGGTTATTTGGTTAAAATGAACTTTCTGTTGTCTGGTAATAAAGTAATGACGACTAAACTGAAGCTCTGAAGTAATTATGGGAAACCTTGAGTCCCCGTTCAAACATCTGAAAGCTTCTTTGTGTCTCAGCTGGAAGTTTTGTGCTGTGCAGACGGTAAATAAGGCTCAGCTGACACCAACAATCCTGAGCGTGAATAAAAACAGTGTTGACAGAGAGGTGGAGGTCTGTGGCAGCAGATTGGATTATGGAGCTGTGAGGCAGCGTTCACTGACCTGACTCTGACTCAGGAGACGCGTCAGCATCCACGCTCAGACAGCCGCTCAGTGTCTCTGCTCTCCTCTTCTACAGCGACGCCATCAGCCGACCGTCCCTCCAGGATGAGCGCCGAGCCTCCGCCGTACCGTCCTCACTTCCCTGAGGGCCCCTCGGCCCCCGTCTTCTCTCCAGGTCTGTCTTCTTTTATCTTTGACATCACTTCCTGTGTGCAACAGCGCTGCACAAGTTTTACTCTGAAAGACACAAAACTGGCTTCATGTTCAGCCACAGAGGTCAAAGGTTGGCATGTGCCATCACCAGTGATGGGCAGTAACGCGTTGTAATGAGATTACTTTTTTCAAGTAACGAGTAAAGTAAGGGATTACCATTGGAATAAAGCTAATTAGATTACCGTTACTTTCCCGTAGGAACCCTGCGTTGCTAAAACCGTGATTTTATTGCGAGAATGTCTCATGACAGTGACGTAAGCGAGCGCGATGTTCGTGACAACAGCTGTGTGCAGATCAACAGTGGTAATATATCGAGTGCAGAGAGAGTATGAGCGTGCAGCGTTTAAAGCGTGGATGTAATCACATTACTTTGAGTTTGATTCCATAAAAAGTGACAAAAACATTAGTGTCCGCTGTGCGTGGGAAGAAAACTTCTTTTTACAGCGAAAAAACCCCTAAACTTCCAACAAGCACCGAGTGCCGGATCCGCCCACTGACATGACGGCTGTGGCACCGGGCAAACCTCCACCCGCCCCACTCCTGCTAAACAGGTGACAACAGATCTAAGAGCGACTCAGAGCTGCTGAGGCTTTGATTTTACTTCTTTCTGCTGTTTTACTTGCATCTATTTGAAAGAGTGTAAATAAGACTGTTGTATACAGTGTTGGTCAAGTTACTTGAAAAAAGTAATCAGTAACTAATTACTGATTACTTCCCTCCAAAAAGTAATCCCGTTACTTTACTGATTACTTATTTTCAAAAGTAATTAATTACTTAGTTACTTTTTAAAAACACGATTTAGATCTTTCAGCCCAGTTCTGCTTTTTCTGCATCATCATCATACAAAATGTAATCAAATGGAAAAGTCTCTTTTTAAAACTTTATTAGTTTTAACCTTTTAACTTGTTATCTTGTTTATCATGACTCTGGTTTTACTGGCCGATCAACACAGTTTATAAACTGGTATATGTCACCTTGTTGCTTTGTCTGTAAGTGGTCATGTGATTGACCACGACTCCTTTATTCTTCCTCAGTCAAACAGCAGCACTCGTGCGATTGTTTTGCCCCCTGAGCTCCAGCTGTTGTGCCAGAAAGTGATGGTTACCGTCCGCAGGAGCGCAGCTGCTTAAAGCTGCAGCGTCCTGATTCTTACAGCTACTTCCTGCAGCTGATATAAGCTGCAGTGAGCTGAACACAGCTTCAGCCGTCTGTTGAAAAACAGTAACAGACCGCATTTCCTTGTTAGTAACGGTAACGGTGTTGTAACGATAGGAATAGTAATTAGTTAGATTACTCGTTGCTGAAAAAGTAACGCCGTTAGTAACGCCGTTGGTAACTCTGTTATTCCCATCACTGGTTATTAATTACTAATTACTTTTTTCAAGTAACTTGACCAACACGGACCATCACTGCCACAGCAACAGCCTTTATTAAAGTCATTAGTTAAAGTTTAGTTATGTGATGAGCTTCTTCTGCCTTTACTCACACGGGTGGAGCAGGGTGGAGGAGGAAGGAGGGTGGAGCAGGTGGGAGGAGGAAGGAGGGTGGAGCAGGGAGGAGGAGGAAGGAGGGTGGAGCAGGGAGGAGGAGGAAGAGGAGGAAGGAGGGTAGAGCAGGGAGGATGCAGGCACACAGGCGGCTGAGGTGCGTTCACAGGCGGCTGAGGTGCGTTCACAGGCGGCTGAGGTGCGTTCACAGGCGGCTGGGACAGAAGAATTCAGTTCAGGAAACCTGCAGAATCTGAGCCAATCAGCTGTTTTCATTTCTCAGACTGAGCTTTAAGTTTTGATCCTGTTGTTTCTTTACAGCTCTCGCCTGTCAGCCTGGCTTCTTCCCCAGCTCTCCGTACCAGGTACCCAGCATGCACTGCTGCAGCATCCTGAGGATCATCAGAGATTATGAAGCTTCTGGTTTTATATTTCAGCCTCTTTTCAGTTTTAGGATTTAAAAATTCTTTGACTGCATGAAAATAAATTTTTCTTCAAATTAACGAACTGTCACATGACCATCAGTGTTACTATGGTAACCACGTGTTTCCTCTGCAGACCTTCCCTCAGTCCTATTACCATGAACATCCAGGTTACATGGCTCCGATGACCCCACAGAGCACCTTTGGGACCCAGTCGGCCTACCAGGGCAGTCTCGACGGGCCCCCAGGGGCCTCGTACCCACCAAAACACGCAGGCAGGTCAAAGGTCACGACACAGAGAGCTCAGGCAGGGTCAGCAGTTTGTGTGTCATAGTGGGGAAAAATCTTCCTCCTCCATCCTCAGCCTCCACCCTCCCTCCTCTGCACATGCTCAGACGACCTCAGCAGCTGCGAGTCTGAGTCGTCATGAACACATAACCACATAAAAGAAAATACATATAAAACAAGAAAAACAAGGTTTTCTGATTGGCTGTCCCTCACAAACAGGAGGCGGGGCTTCTCTGATGGCCATACAAGGATTTCTCCTCTCTATGACATCATACGGATCCCAAAATAGAAAAAACTGTAGAGCCGTCATAACTGGTTGTTATACTGGGTATGCATCCTGCAGGCTTTAGTCATGTGACTTCCTGTCCTTCCAGTTTACGTGGTGGATCAGCAGCAGGATCAGGGCGGCGGCAGGAAGTCGTGTCTGGCGGCGTGCTCGACTCTCCTGTGCTGCTGCTGCCTCTGGGACCTGCTGACTCGGCACCTCTGCTGACCTCTGACCTCCTGTCACACAGCAGGTATGAAATCAAACAGTTCAAGTTTGATTTTCTCATCAACACCAAACTGTTTTTATGTTCTCATGTTTCTCCTGCGACAGGCTGTGGACCTGTACAGGTGTACACGCCTCTCCACCTGCGTAACTGGGATAGGCTCCGCCCCCTGTGACCCTAATAAAGATAAGAGGATGGATGGAAGTTTGTTCAGTATTCGATGATGAACTCTCTCTTGACTTCTGAAATGATTAAAATACAAATGTTTTTGTTTTTTATTTTAATTCTTCAGCAATAATCAAAATATTTGCTGTTTGTTTGTTTTAAGATGTTAATGTACAAATTGACTGAACTCCAGAAACTCAGTTTGATGTTTGCGTCAGTAGAACTGCTCCAGCTTTATGACACACTTCATCTTCTCTCTGTTAAATAAACTTTTTCAGACACATTAATGCGTCTTTGTTTGTCTCTGCAGGGTTTTTATTTCACGTGTTTAACAGAAGCCACTCAGCTTAACCTTCCTGCCTTCTTGGGACCTTTTTGTGCCACTGCTATGTGTTAAATGGCTGCCATTTCCACTGTGTTCAGTGGAATATAACCAAACTTGCCACAGGATAGTTTATACCTGTCAATGTTAATATTCCAGTGTGAATTCCTTAAATCAGCCTAAAATGGCTGAGCAGCAGAAATCCCCACACCCATCACCCTGGGGACCATTTTCTGCCCATTGACTTCCATTATAAACGCTATTTTTCAACCCCAAATTATCATCATATGATTTTATTTTTTCTTCTTTTCTTGGATGTCAATGAAGACTCAGGGCCTTGAAGTTTTAATTTTTAAATTGCAAAAAAAATGCAAAAAAAATAATGGCAGGTCAAAATGTATGTTGGTGCCAATCTTTGGTCCATCTAAAGGCCTACTTATAATGACAATCACATATTACTTCAACTGGTTTTTTGTGGAAATATTTAGTTTCGTTTTTTGGTTTTTGGGGCTTATAACACAGGGCGCTCATGTAATAACACTGGGATTTGAAGGGTTAAAACAACGAAAATATAATTAAAACTTTACATGAATATTTCAGGGAGAAGTAGTTTTACAAGGTTGGCTAATTTAAAGTGGAATAAAATATGGATATATGGTCTTTTTATGGCGTGGCTGAGAATGATCCCTAGGGTGATGGGTGTGAGTTTTTTAAAGGATGGCAGGAGGGTTAAATAACTGATAAGGTTTGAACTTTGATTCAAGGACCACAAACACGAGGTAAAAACTCTTTATTTTATACATGAAGTATGTGATGGTGTTTACAGGACTGCCCTCCTCTGATTGGTTTAGCCTGCTGTCAATCTTCTGCCTGCCGCAGACAGATCCAAAGTTTTACTGCTGTGATGCTCACGTTTGAGACTTAAAGCTGATAGGAAATAATAAAAGCCGAGTGATGAATTCAACATTCAGAGAGTTTGAAGTAATAGCAGTAATGAAAGATTTATGATTATTACATCGTCTCAGTGCGACATCATGCGGAGGAAAAAGTTGTTTGATCTTTTATGACGGCTCTTATTTTCCATCTGTTCAGGTAATATTATTTCGTCAGCTCTATGTTGATGCACTGACCATTGCTTACTTCTAATAGTCACTTTATAAATGACATTTTATTCATTTAAAAACATTTTAATTACAGTGAAGAACATTAGTCATGTTGTCCTGTGAATGTTTTTTCTGTGTTGATTTTGTTCATTTTTTAAAATCATGCATGAAGTCAGACTTTGTTCCATCTTAGAAAACAAAACATATCAATAATATGAATCCATCACCTTCAAATAAGGAACGACTACAATACATTTTCATTTCACCGTGTGTTATACATGTATAACTATGCATGTGACAAATAAAAAACCTTGAACATTTTTCAGGGTCAGAAATTCATTTTTATTTTTTCACACTGACTTTGTGGAAAACTTCATTTGTTTCACAGCTCAGTAGAAGAACCTGATAAACTAAAATAAAATGTAGAAACATCATTTGTTGGGTGGTTAAACCAATACGTCCTCCTCTGATTGGTCCAGCTTGGCCTGCTGAAAACACATCCAACCTTCTGGAGATCAAATTAATTTTAAACTTATGTTTTAATTTAATAACAAGTTTAAAATGCTAATAAAATGATATTTATGTTGTAGTACTTCAGTTTGACCACATGAGGGTGACTTTTAATCATCATCAGATTAACCTGCTGTTGCTTCTACTGTTTGGATAAAAATGCTTTTGTACACACTATATTTGAACATGTTTTAATAATATAAATACTTAGCAATAAGTCAAGAATAAAAATATATATATTTATATTTGTAACTCTGAAGCGCTCTTGCGGGCACCTCACGATGCTGGGTGGAGCATCCACAGCTGTTTACTCCGGAGGAAACGGAAACTTTGTGGAAGGACTCAGACACGAGTCAGTGATGCTCACTGCTGACTGACGACAGCCACACTGAGATGCTGAACCTTTCTGTTTCTGCCTTTCTTAGCTGCTGTTAGCCTCTGTTAGCCGCTCTTAGCAGGCGACGTCTTTGAAGTGGCTCAAATGTTGTTAGTGACTCGGACACTTAGCTGTAAGCTGCTGCAGTTAAGTCTTTTCTCTGACTCCTCCCCTCATCTGGTGGCGTTTCTCTTTGATTTCTAACATTAAATGTAAAGAGTCGCTTTAATGTCGGTCCCCTCGTGTTCGGTTCGTTAGTCTCTTCTGTACTGACTGCTTTTTTTTCTTCACTGTTTTGATGTTTTTGATATTTTGTGACAAATAAAAATCAGTAAAAATCATTTTGTCAGCTTTGTGTTGCTGAGCTGAAGAGCGCCTGCAGACATGAAGAATGACCTGTAGGGAAACTGCCGACACTTGAAGAGAAGCAGATTTCTTAAGCTCGCTGAATCTCAGCAGGTGACACTCTCATCACAGTCGTCCACAGGCGACCACGCTGAACTTGTTTCTGACACTTTTGTGGCTCTTTGAATGTAACACAGTGATTAATAAACAATAATGTTTATTAAACACATTTTAATTATTCTGTGAAATTAATTTGACCTGAACTGAAAAAAGAGAATTAAAAAACCAACTTACCTCAGTCTGAGTCTGTGTCGTCATCGAGTCTGTGGCTGTGACATCACTTCCTGTTTGTCCCGCCACGGTCATTATGGTGGTTAAGATACAGTACAATACAATTTTATTTATATAGCACGTTTAAAACCAGGGGGGCACACCAAAGTGCTTCACAGCGAGGAATAAAGAGTAATTTACAGTAAGTCATTAAAACAAGTTAAAATAGAGAAAGTAGAGAAAACAAACAAAAAGCATTAATAAGTAGAAACAGGGAGAAGTCATGATTATCCAGAGAAACGAGCAGCGATACAGCAGTTAATGAGCGGTGAGGATTAGCAAGTCAGAAAAGCTTGAAGGTTGAATAGGTAACTTTTCACGCGTGCTTTAAAGGATTGAATGGAGTCAGAGGTGCGATTGGTAGCAGGAAGACTGTTGCAGAGGTTGCAAAGGCACGATCGCCCCTAGTCTTCAGACGGTGCCTGGGCTGGGCCAGAAGCAACTGACCAGATGATCGTAAAGAACCTCTGGGAGTATAGAGACCGAGGAGGTTGGTGAGCTAGTCAGGGGCAAGGTTGTTCAGGCATTTGAAAGTAAGCAGCAGAACTTTAAAATCAATACAAAGTTTAATAGGCAGCCAATCAGAGAGCACTGGAGTAATAGAGGCAAACCTTCTAGTTCCGGGTAGAAGACGAGCCGCCGCAGACTGAGTCAAGACCAAGTTGAGACAAAAAGGTCTTTAAACTGCAGCCAGATGCTGCTTCGTTTACGGGTTTCAGGCATATTTCTCTGTGCTGACCCCTTCTGAAGTCCACCACCAGCTCCTTGGTCTTGCTGACGTTCAGCTGGAGGTGGTTGTCCTGGCACCACGATGCCAGATTCTTCACTTCATCCATGTAGGCCGCCTCATCGTTGTTGGAGATGGCACCCAACACCACTGTGTCGTCAGCAAACTTCACAATGGTGTTGGAGCCATGGGTGGCCACACAGTCTGAAGTGTAGAGGGAGTAGAGCAGTGGCGAGAGGACACATCCCTGAGGTGCTCCTGTGTTGATGGTGATGCTGTTGGAGAAGCACCTGCCCACCCTCACCACCTGAGTTCTGCCAGTGAGGAAGTCCAACACCCATGCACACAGACGGCTGTTAAGTCCCAGATCCCTCAGCTTTGTGAACAGTCTGCAGGGCACTATTGTGTTAAACGCTGAACTGTAATCAACAAACAGCATTCGCACATAGTTACCCTGTTTCTTGTCCACGTGGCTGAGAGTGGTGTGTAGGACGTGGGCGATGGCATCCTCTGTGGATCTGTTGGATCTGTAGGCGAACTGCAGCGGATCTGTGGTGTCTGGGATGGAGGAGGAGATGATGTTCTTCAGCAGCCTCTCAAACACCTTCATTACTACCGAGGTCAGTGCAACTGGCCAGTAATCGTTCAGGGATGAGGGTTTGCTGTTCTTGGGCACAGGGATGATGGTGGATCTTTTGAAGCATGTGGGGACCACAGACTTCGCCAGGGACTCGTTGAAGATGTAAGTGAACACACCTGCTAAAACTAGAAGATTTTGCCATGTTTAACAAAGCAATAAATAAGTAAACAACTAAAAAGGTGCATAGTCTGAGCGGAGTGGTCAGGAAGGCGTCTGGACGTGGCCGCGCCATCTTACAACATCCATAGTTTGTTCACTGGGACACTGGAGAGGTTAAAACCTAAATTCTTGGGTCAGAGACTGTAATGGAGACCGGGATCCCATTACCCATGTTTTTACTAGTTTGAAGGACTAGTATTTAAAAAGTTCGATTAAAAAAAGAACCTGCTCAGTCATCCAGGTAAGGAAATCTCAAAAGGTTGATTCTGTTCATCTGGACGTTTTCAGTGGGAGAAACGTTTCTGTCATGGACCCGGCTCCGGGGACTCGGGGTCCGTGGGCAGTGGGGACTATGACTGTTGTTGTTGTTATTATTATTATTTGGTGTGTTGTCTGCACTGCCCCTTGGCACATCTGTATGTAGGCAGGTATGTGTGTGTTTTGCCTTTCTGCTGTGGCCAAGTTACAGGCACCTTCAGCCCTGGGGGCGTGGCCTAACTTGAGGGCTGGCCACACCCGAAGTCCTGGCCGCACACCTGCTCCTCATCTGGGCTCGTCGGGGGAGCTATTTAGATGAGCGATGGAGCTTCCACCGACGCTGGATAATTGCGTTTGACTACACGTCAGTCTTCAAGCAAGTCAAGCGTGAGTGTATGCCTGCTGGGACAAGTTGTAACGGCTGCCTCTATTGTTTCCCCCTCAGGAGGAGTGTGGGACGAGAAGGAGCAGTGAGCACGGGGAGTGCAGGGACACTGGGGCAGAGAGCACTACACGGGAGTCTGGGAAACTGGGGATTTATTGTTGTTTACTTCACCACCTTGTAAATAAACACTGTTGCACTGAAGAGTCCGGCGTTTGGGTCCTATTTCCCCATCTCCCCACGGTCTGCCAGCCAGACCGTGACCGTTTCGTCATCATCAGGTGACTTCTTCAGTCTCAGCTGACTGCAGGTTTCCCATCTGTCAAAGCTAGGAAGGCACCTAAAGAAAGCTCCAGGTGATGCAGGAGGAGTGCCAGGATTTATACATCGGGGAAACCAAACAACCTCTGGCTGAGAGGATGCACAACACAGCAGAGCCACCTCGTCAGGCCACGACTCTGCAGTCTGTTTACACCTACAGGCCAGTGGACACTCTTTCAGTGATGAGGATGTAACATCCTGGACAGGGAGGAACGCTGGTTTGAGGGCGGAGTCAGGGGAAAGACCATCCCTGAATGGAGGAGGGGCCTAAGGGTACATCTGTCACCATCTTACATGCTGTGATTGCAGCCATTCCCCAACTCTCTGTGAATGGGACTCATGGACATTGATCAGTGGTCATGAGAATTTGCATATTAATGATCATAAACTGACCTCGCTGTTCATTTAGAGACCGTGAGGGGCCATCCTACCCTTTCTTAAAGAAAGGAACCTCAGAGCTGTTCATTTGATTTCTAAACCTAATGTCCTTGTAAATGTATTTAAGAAGTGTGAGGGACCCCATTAGGGAGGAAATAAGCAGGGATTAAGAAACGTGGGTCCTAGTGTTGCTACTGAGTGTAACATTAGGTCTAATGGCACTGTGATTTAAGCATTAGAGCAGCTCACTATCTTTGACCAAGAGCATTCAGGGATAAATGACCCGTCCAAACAGCACCTGCAGGATTGTCCGGCGAGCGTGACGTTCACTTTTCTTCACAAAGATCTGTAACAGCAGCAGAAAAATGGCTGTTGATCACAGGCTTTGTGCTTTGCTGCACGCACACTACAGCAGTGATGTACCACACACAGATGGAGTCGCTAAATTACACAACTGCTGACGTGCAACCAACAACTACCTGCTTCTGTTTCCTCCTATTCAAAGGGAGGCGCTAACAGCAGACTCAAATTGTGGTGTAACAAAGAGGAAACTATTCAACAGAGACACAAACCACACATCAACTGTAAAAGACGAACATGGCCAGCAAACACAAGCGACTCGGCAAGTACATTTAAAAATAGCAATCTAGAAAATTTGTGTTAATTTAAGAGTAATAAGACTCAACACTCACTTTACCTTTGTTAGGTTTTAGCTTTCTTTGATCCTTTCCTCTCACTGGTTTCCTTTGTTTTTACAATAGTTGATGTTTTTCTGTAGTTTTTATTGTACAATATGATCTAAACACACGAGTAAAACAACCAGCGTAAACATTAACCGTCAAATGTTTAAAAAAACCCTCGATGGCAGCACTTTGTAGATGACATGAGGAGGAAATGTGATTTCAACACTTTTGCAGAGAGAGCAAGTACAAACCTCTGTAGCTTCTCTCGTCTCCGGCAGATTCACGTTTAAACGATCAGATCGACTTTTCTGACGAGGAGACGTGTTTAAAACTCAAAGTTTGATCTCTGGTGTCTTTTCAGTGACAGATGCAGCAGCTCCATTTCCTGAATCACCTCGTTGTACAATAAATTTAGTATATTTAATGAAGTCAGACAAAAATGTAACGTCGATACTGTGATTGTCTGTGAAAAACAAGCTGTCAGTGGGAAGGCCATACGAGCCTCGCTCTCCTTGAGTTTCACAGACTCACATCCAGATGTTTTCTTTTAAATAGAAAAATATGCAATATGATGTGTGGTGTGACCTGGGGCAGATATAGGGCCACCTCTACATCACAGCTAAGACAGTTAAAGATCTTAATATTCTTACGCGATTAACAGTTATCAGAGTGCTAAAACACAACTTTTCTCCATTTCATAATAATAAAGCATTTTACTCTTAATTAAAGACAAATCAAAATATAAGTTTGATCAATACATAAATATTGTGTGAAAAAGTGACTTCCCCTAAACCTAATAACTGCTTGGGCCAGTTGGGACAACTGCCAGTGAGTCTTTCCCACCCAGGGACTCCAAGAAGGCGGGGTACCCTGAACCGCCACTTGGCGCATACGTGAAGACGACGGTCAGGGCGCCTGGAAGCGCCTCCTCCTGGCCTGTTTTTCTGTACCTCCTCAATAAACTGTGGTGAGAACAAACTATCTGGTGCTTGAGACGTTATGGAAATGTTACAATAAAAGAAATGGAAATCAGGAAGGTCAAACACGTTTTCACACTGCGAATGCGGCTTCACCGTGACTTAGTCCTCAGTTGCAAAATGTGGTGAAATCACTGAAGTTCTCTACTTTCTTTAACAGAGTCAGAGGAACCACAAAAGAAAGAGATAAAAGAGAAACCAGACCTCAGGATGGTGCTCCTTGGAATAACTGGATCTGGTGCATCAGGAAACACCATCTTAGGAGGAGACGATGCTTTTGAATCTAAACCATCTCCGAACTCGGTAACTTCAGAGTGTCAGAAGGAAATGTTTGAAGGTCAAAAACTGGCTGTGGTCGATACTCCAGGTGTGTTTGATAATGTTCAAACTGAAGAGGAGATGAAGACAGAGGTCAGGACAGCCATCTCCTTTGCTGCTCCGTGTGGACAGATTCACAGAGAGATTCACACCATGGCCTTGTTCACACGTGGAGATGACCTGGAGCGTGGGAGAGTCACCACAGGAACTTCCATCAGGGAAACTCCAGCTCTCCATGACTTCATCCGTCAGTGTGGTGGAGGATAGCATGTTTTAACAACAGAAGCAGAGATCCTGCTCAGGTCAGAGAGCTGCTGGAGAAGGTCAACATAATGGTTCAGGGAAACGGAGGAAGCTGCTACACCAACGGGATGTTGGAGAAGGCAGAGAATGCTATAACCAAAGAGATGGAGCAACGTCAGAAGAAAAGGCCTGGGCTAATGGCCACTGAAGCAAGATATGAAGCAGAAAGAAACAACGAGTTTATTCGGGGCAGCTGGAGCTGCCGCTGGAGGCGGTGCTGCGATTGGCACCGAGCTTACTGTTGGAGCTGCAGCCGGTCCAGTGGGACTGTTGGTGGGAGCTGGACTGGGTCTGGCAGCAGGAGCTGCAGTGGGAGCTGGACTGGGTCTGGCAGCAGGAGCTGCAGCAGGAGCTGCAGTGGGAGCTGGAGTGGGAGCTGGAGTGGGTCGTACTACTGCTGCTAAAGTCAGGAAGCAGGCGTGTATTACACAGTGATGAATAATCACTCAGCAGCAGCTCGTTCAAGTCACACCATTAACACAATATTCACAAGTCTTTATCAGTATGATCATTTTTATTATCCTATTTGATTTAAAACGAATGATTAATTATTATTGATCATGTTAGTTTGGGGACATTCTTGAACTGTTCTCTCAGTGAGAACCTCAGATGATGTAAATCGTGTTTTAAAGCCTGGTGAGTTTGCTTTCTTGTGCTGTCAGAGGAGAAAGTGTAGGAGAAGCTGCAGTCAGCAGACGTGACAGTAAAGACCGCCTCTAGGGTTTCTACCTTATAATATGTAGCATCTGGAGTAAGTAAGACACATTTTATTTATAGCACATCTGTTAAGACGAGGAAAGTGTTATTTATATGGCGTCAAATCCCCACAGCAGCAAGGCGCTTCATGTTGTAAGGTAGACCATACAGCATTAGATGTTATCCACAGCGTGTCTTTGTCCTGTCTGTGGGAAGTTAAACCTGATACCTGTCCAGGGGTAGGATGGGCTCCAACCGCTCCATGACCTGAAGTGGAAATGCAGAAGAGAATGGATGGACTGAGATTCTTCGTCAGCAGGCTGTGGCCTCTGCTGGGACCATGTCTACGGCCGTGAGCTTAAAGCGTGAAGCTTTATGCATCTGGGCCCAGCCTCCATAGCTTCTGCTGAAGGTTGCAGTGCTGTACATAGACAGGTGCTGCTGTTCTTTCAGATGTGACCCACACTGGTGACTTGCTGCTTCCTGGCAGTTAATTAGTCTGAAGCAAAGCATGCTGGGACTGGATCTGTCTGACTCGAGGTCAATTGAATAATTATTACAGGAATGTGTTCAAAGTATCTGTGCTGATCCGCACAGCTGGTTCATGTTATTCATCAGGAAAGTGGAGATGTCCTCCTATTGTTGCAGCACATCATTATGGGACTGCCGTCAGGTCTCAGTGGGCTGATTGTTCAACTGTTCAGACACCACAGGGTCTTTGCCCCCATGGTGGGAGCAAATGCACCTGACTGCACAATCATGATATGATCAGCTGTTCCCTTCATTCAGCTGTTCAAGGGGATCTTTACAGAGGACTGCCCTCCTCCTTGTCTGATTGGTTCAGCCTGATGTCCGTCTGCAGTCTCTGATCCCGCCTCCAAACCCCTGCAGGTGAATTTAATCAAATAAATTTGTGATCTAATTAAAAAAATGTGTCTGTCTTTGTTCAGTCTGATGTGAAATGGAACATATGGAAAGATATTTAATGGTGTAATACTTGAGTCTGACCACATGAGGGCGACATTTAATGACCGTCAGACTGAAGCTGGTGGAAACAATCACGTGAAACAATCGTTGTGTGTGTGCGTGTGTGTGTGTGTGTGTGTGTGTGTGACACATCTTTGTGGGGACAAAAGGCATGTTTGAGACTCAAAATGTAGTTTTAGTGTCAGGGTTACAGTCTGGTTAGGTTTAGGCTCAGGGTCAGGCAGTCATTTAAGACGCCAGGGTAAGCATGATGTCAATGCTCCACTAAGATATGAAAACAGGTTTGTGTGTGTGTGTGTGTGTGTGTGTGTGTGTGTGTGTGTGTACTGACTGTGAGCTGCAGTCAGCAGAGCAGGGATGAAGATGATGAAGGTCAGCCTCACTGAGTTCCAGATGAAGTTTTCCAGGTGGTCCTCCTGCTGCACAGCTGTGATCCTCACCTGTAAACATGAAGTCATGTGACCTGTGAACCAATCAGCAGCCTGAAGGTGAAGCTGAGGTCAGAGCAGCAGCAGGACGTCCCTCCATTAAAAACACCAACAGGAACATCAATCAATCAATCAATCAATCAATCAATCAATCAATCAATCAAGCCTTTTATTTGACACATGCAAAGTCTACACCAGCAGTAAAATTGGACCCCCCCGACCCCGTAATGTGGAAAAGCAATGACATGTAGAATCCAATGGGAAAGCAGAGGAGGGAGAAACCTGCACTCAGCACGAGAACAGAAACAAAAGAAGCTCCTCTGCACAGAGAGCACACATGTTCACGTCACAACACCACAAGCAAGGGGTGGGTGAGGCGGTGAGCCGATGTAGACGCAGTCATGATGATGCAATTATTACAAGCCAGCTCCATCAGCAACCCTGTTATCATGGTTTGAAAAGGTAGCTGTCTTCAATGTCCTCGATCGACAGTCTTTCCAGTTTCTCCACCCGTCCGTCGTGTATCCGGCAGGGAGCGTCCCTCCAGGACACTCGGGCTCTCCCGGGCCCAGACGTCTCGTGGAGAGGAGGGTGTCAATAACATTCTCATCACAGTCGCCGACATGTGATCGTGTTGAGCTCATTTCTGACACTTTGGTGGATGTTTGAACGTAACACGGTGATTAATAAGCAACAACATGTTTATTAATCACATTTTTACAATTCTGTGAAATTCATTTAACCTGAACTAAAAAAAGAGAATTAAAAAAAGGCCCAACTTACCTCGGTCGGAGTCTGCGTCGGCATTGAGCCTGTGGCTGTGACATCACTTCCTGTTTGTCCCACCACGGTGGTGACGGTGGTGAAGATGTGAGGAGCTAAACAGAGTTTGAGTTGTTAATTGTTCGGTTTTACAGGAAGTTAGTGTGTAAGACAAAGATGGATTATTATGAACTGACAGTCATGCAAAGCTGCTGTGGTAGATGGAGCTGAAACAGCTCAGCTTCATGTTTAACTACATTCTGAGTTTACAGCGGACGTGAAACACCACAGCGGGGAGGCTCCAACCAGCTGGCACACATTTAACTCTTCAGCAGATCAACTGTGTGTGTGAAGCTGCAGTCCAATCAGTTCGCACAGATTTCCACAGGAAGTGATCGGCACTATTTTAAGGTAATACTGAGGTTTGATTGAACCTCCAGTTATTAAAAATGTCCTTGTTCGAGTCGTTTTCCTAAACCGTCCACAGGAAGACAGACTAAAGACAGACGGACAGCTCGAGTTTCAGTGAGGATGCAGGTTTGGGGAAATCATTTCCTCCTTCTGTGTTGTTGGTGAGTGGATTACCTCAGAGCAGGACCGTGTGTGTGGGTGATGTGCTCGTGGTAACGGGTCTGTTTGGGCGTTGCTGGGATTCATTTTCATCTGTAAGGCTGATGCTGCATCGAGTTTTAGACGTAGGCTGTTCCTGTGATACCAACAGACACAAGACTGAGAGACTTCACAGGAACGTGGACGGGTTTGTGATGCCTGCAAGACCACAGGGCCACAACTCTGCCGTTATGGGATGCATCCTGCAGGTCTGAGAGGGGAGCGAGAGGTGGTTGCCATGGTGACGGGAGTGTTGCTTGCAGAAGTGTTTCAGAAAGTTGCAGAAGAAGAAACGTGAGCTGGATGTCTGCCACATAAGGAGAACTTCTGACCAATCACCTGAGAGTCCTGTTTACCACACATGATACTGTCCTGTGTGGGGGCGGGGCTCTTTGTAGCCGTTGTTTAACTTGAACCTTCAGCTGCTAGTAAGCTAAGAAAATGCACTTTGAGCATGTTCGTCTCTGAGTGAACATGCAGCTCTGGACAGGAACACTTGACCCTGATACGACGGGATGTTGTCTTTACATTTACAGCTTCCTCACCTGTGACGACGCTCACATCGATGTGATGCTTCTCATCGTTGAACCAGCCGGGTATCTCCACCCTGCAGCCGTATCGTCCAGCGTCTCCCTCTGTCAGGCTCTTTATGGTCAGAGAGACGTCTCCGTCCTCCAGTCGGCCCAGCAGCTCATACCTGCTGGGAGCTCTGGTTTCCACTCTGAGTCCATCTGTGGAGATCAGCGGATTGGAGCAGCCTCTGGCTGGTATCTCTCCTCGCTGCCAGCACGCTGACAGAGCGCCGTGATATTTCCTGTCATATTTACAGGGCAGAGTGATGTCTTGACCTGTGTGACCTTTGACCTCCACGCTGTCACATTCACAGACTGGAAACACAGAAACAGGAAGTTAAAGACAGTTTGATTTTTTATTCAAAGAATAAAAAAGTGATTTTGTTCAAATAGAGAGAGAGCCGAGCAAACAGAGTGACAGCAGGAGTGACGGAGGCGTACGTGCCTGACAGGAGGACGAGCAGCATCACAGGAAGCCTGCTTATTTCCCCGCAGGCTGCTGAAGCCCTCGGAGTCTTCATCACTCTGTAGAACATCCAGACATCATCAGCTCGCCCGCTCTCCTCTGAAACACTCTGCAGGAGTAAAGAGCCGGACAAACCTTCAGTCTCAGAGCTGCTCCGTGTCGTTCTTCTTCTGCTGTCACATTTATGACTCTGTGGTTTGCCATGTCCGCCCTTCACTTCCTGCTAACAGCAGCTCGTTCTGCAGACCAGCCACAGGCTCAGAGATGAGTCAGCTTTTATTGACCTGCAGGCAGAAGAACAGACGTTCAATATTTCAGATTCATTCAGATTATTGATCCTTAAATACTCGAGCTGGTCTCTGGCTCGTTGTCAGCGAGATCGGTCAGACGCTCGTGTCCTCAGTATCCTGCTCAGAGGCAGAGGACGCGTTCAAGTACCTGTGAAAACAACACTGCAGCACTGAAGCAACTTCTTTACTGTGCCGGTGTTCTGGGCATACAGCCTACCCGTTGTTTCTGAGCATGTGCACGGCACAAAACCCCAACTTAACAGCATCTGGCTGTAATTTAACACAACTCCTTTGTCATATTTGTAAAACAGTTAAATATTAGCACTTTATTGAAGTGGATACTTGATTTTTTAAGCCATTGTGAAATCGCTACCTGCTTTTTGCACAAAACTGTTGAATTTGCAGCTTTGGTGAAGTGTACTTTCAAGTTAATGGACACATTTGATGGTCTCGAGAAAGTTATTGAGGTTGCAGTGCATTCATGCTGAGGGAAATATTCTAATTCGTTAATATGTGTATGGTATGTTAGGTCTATCTAGGTAATGTGGTTATTTAATAGGTTAAATTATGTGCACTGTTTGCTGCACATATTGAAGCTCAAAAGAAGAGATGTTGTGGAACTGTAGATGGTATTTGTGGAGATACAGAAATTCTTTTATTGCTGCCATATAATCTGCATCATTATAACTGCAGTAATAACATTCAATAATATTTCTTACAGTATTGATATTGCATTAAAGTTGTTGATTGAAGATGTCCATTTGAGGATCCTTCCTTTAGGTTAACTTTTATTACAAGTATGGTTAGAAGTATTTTATACACATTGCATATCTGTGCTTATTTTGAGTTGATGTTCGGTTCATTAAGGGTCTTAAGCTTCACTGGCGTGACTGTCCAGGTGATGCATGCTGAGGGAAACTAGAACATAGAAGGATAACTTCAATGCATGCTTACAACACATATAATCTAGGAATGCGTCAGGCCTGAGGCCTTAACTCATTTGGTGTCTCGCTATATTTTACTCTACTTGGCAACAGATGACCAGAGTCAATAATTAGCCCCAGAGACCCTGAGGGCTTGAAGTTTATTACCTTGTATGGAAGGTGTTATAGAAAAGAGAAGTTCTATGTCTGCTCATAGCTATTAAAGATGTACGATTAACTGTGACTAATGTCTGGAACCTATTTTAATCTGTCATTGACGCCATGGGGGGGCGTGTACCTCACTGCTGTGTCCACAACATGTATTTTGGTCAGAAGACATATGTTGATGTTTTCTCCTGGCTGTTAATAAACTCATCGTTTGAGTGCACTTTTCTGGGGCCTCCGTGGTTTGTCTCACTGCTCTGCATTGGTCGATTTCGCGACATATTATACTGCGAGCAGGTCCCTGTAACTGCAGCAGAAAAAGTATTAAAGGAAAGGGTGCAAAAGGGCAGCATTAACCCCAGTTTGGTACATCTGGGTAATTATAGACAAAAAGCAGAACCAGGTGATGAACTTGTTGTACGTGAAGGCTTTATATAACACTCACACCTTACAGGAGACAAGCGTAGTGAACAGAACCAAAGTGTAGCACCGTAAAAGGAGAGATGAGCGTGTTAAAGGAAGGAGATGTTTGGATCAAAACTGTGTATGAAGGGTACAGGAAGACAGAGCACTGAATAACAGGAAAAGTAGGAGCTGAATGAGGAACTTATGAAAGTGACAGATGGAGGGACGGCCCCTCGACTCGGCAGTTGGCTTTGGCGCTGAGCTTATTACCCTTTTTACACAGGATAAAAAAGTTGTTGAAGTCTGTCTTGAGTTGTGTTCTCAGCAGATCTGAAACAGAGTATCGGGAGCTGGTCACGACCGTTCCTTTCTGTTGATTAATGTTCTGAATTTGGAAACACACTTTGGTTGTAGTCATAAAGTGGACGCCCTTTCTCGACTTTGAGGTTTTTCAAGGATTACAGCCTTTGAAAAATGGCAGGTAATAACAAAGCTAATTTTTTCAAGGGAGCTACCATTAGCCTCGTTTCGAAGCCGCCCGAAAACACACCTGCACCTGATGTCGCCCCACCGGCAGCAGCGGAGGAAGGTACGGGGAGCGAGAGCAAAAAGGACATCTTTGAGGACATTAAGAAAATGAATGCTACTCTTCAGGTCGTAGCAAAAGACGTCACCACTGTTAAAGAAGCGACTGAAGAACTAAAAGATTCAGTGGAAGATATAAACGTATATCAGACATGGAAGATGCCAGCGTGCTCACCGAGCCAAAAGTGGACAAATTTCAGAAAAGGTTGGAGGCGTCGTGGTCACGAGTGGAGGACCTTGAAAACCGTAGTAGGAGAAACAACGTACGGATTACTGGACCTAAAGAAGGTGTGGAGGCATCGGGGAACGTGATAAATATGTGATGGAGATTCTGGCCAAAGCACTTGAGCTTTCTGGAAGAGAATTTGAAATTTAAAATATAACAATGCCAGAATTTAACGAGCCTCCCAGGGCGATACATGTCCGCTTTCTACGTTCATCGGCCACGGAGAAGCGTGGAGTCGACTGGCAGGGCGGCAAGCTGTCCTTGTTAGATGTCAACTACGGGAGGATCCAGGGTCACCTGGTCCAGCCCTAACTATATGCTTTAGCAAAAAGGAAAGTTTGAAGCCTAATCTTGAAAGTAGAGATAGTGTCTGTCTCCTGAATCCAAACTGGAAGCTGGTTCCACAGAAGAGGGGCCTGAAAACTGAAGGCTCTGCCTCCCATTCTACTTTTAAATACTCTAGGAACAACAAGTAGGCCTGCAGAGCGAGAGCGAAGTGCTCTAATAGGGTGATATGGTACTACAAGGTCATTAAGATAAGATGGGGCCTGATTATTTAAGACCTTGTATGTGAGGAGCAGGATTTTGAATTCTGGATTTAACAGGAAGCCAAAACAGGAGAAATCTGCTCTCTTTCTAGTCCCTGTCAGGACTCTTGCTGCAGCATTTTGGATTAGCTGAAGGCTTTTCAGGGAGTTTCTGGTCCACTCCAGAGTTCTCCAGCTTGTCCTTCAGGGCTGTGGGCAGAATGGTGTTGGAGTCACTGGAGAAATCAAAGAACATGATTCTCACAGTGCTCCCAGCGGTGTCCAGGTGAGCGAGGGAGCGATGCAGGAGGTGTGGATGACGGCATCATCCAATTCTACGAGACATGCTGTGTAAGTAGATACAAACAACCACAGTTTGGTCTGCAGTTATTCAAAGATCCCACAGACTTAGTTTAGAGGATCCACACTATCTGCACTGTTTATAGTCAATTCTGCAAGTTTTTCAACAGTGAAATTTGTTTTGTGCCAAAATTATTCTGCAGATCGTCAGAATGAAAAGTTCTTGGCCATGTATTTAAAAGTAGAATGGGAGGCAGAGCCTTCAGTTTTCAGGCCCCTCTTCTGTGGAACCAGCTTCCAGTTTGGATTCAGGAGACAGACACTATCTCTACTTTCAAGATTAGGCTTCAAACTTTCCTTTTTGCTAAAGCATATAGTTAGGGCTGGACCAGGTGACCCTGAATCCTCCCTTAGTTATGCTGCAATAGACGTAGGCTGCCGGGGATTCCCATGATGCATTGAGTTTTTCCTTTCCAGTCATCTTTCTCACTCACTATGTGTTAACAGACCTCTCTGCATTGAATCATCACTGTTATTAACCTCTGTCTCTCTTCCACAGCATGTCTTTATCCTGTCTTCCTTCTCTCACCCCAACCAATCACAGCAGATGGCCCCGCCCCTCCCTGAGCCTGGTTCTGCTGGAGGTTTCTTCCTGTTAAAAGGGAGTTTTTCCTTCCCACTGTCGCCAAAGTGCTGCTCATTAGGGGGTCATATGATTGTTGGGTTTTTCTCTGTATCTATGAAGCGCCTTGAGGCAACTTATGTTGTGATTTGGCGCTATATAAATAAATTGAATTGAATTGAATTGAATGTTTGAGTTGCTATCATGACATTACTGTGTGTTAGGTTGTGGATATCCAGACTCACAAGCGGGACACTGAATGTCACCTCTCCAATATTTTGATCTGCATGTTTGATTTGGATGCCCCCTGACATCCGGCACTGAGAGTAGACTGGCTCGTGGTGCCGCTGTGGCTGGGTTAGGTTACAGCCCATCAGGACATTCAGTGTTCGCTAAATAATTACTGAGACATTTAAATGCTCAAAATCTGCTGCAAAAACAGTTTTTACTGAATAAAACTGATCTGAGAGTGAATCTGTGGCCATCTGGGTGACTCAGGCTGCGTTCACACTGCAGGCGAAAGCGCATCAAATCCGATTTTTATGCGACCCATCGATCCGATCATGGTGTGACAGTGTGAACGGCACAAATCTGCAACTCACTCCGGCAAGAATGTAGCTGTGTAAAGTTCAAGTATCTGCTCGATTTATCAAGACATCACATATTTGCAAAAATGCTCCGACGTTTTCAGAGACGTCCATTTTTTTCATGCTTTGTGGCAGCTGTTGAACATCTGTGGCATCTATTAATGTCAAATCTAGACTTTATTTACCAACATAAGCAAACTCTATGTTACAATGATTGCACAGCCATTAAGGATCAAATCAGTTTCAGTTTTTTCTCCCTCTGCTTGCTTCTTACTGTCTTTGAGGCTCGGGACCAGCACTCCTGCTGCTGGACAGAAAGACATCAGTAAGTATTTTGGTTTTCCAATATTTTAGCAACTGTCAGTGACATTTACAGTGGGGCAAAAAAGTATTTAGTCAGCCACCGATTGTGCAAGTTCCCCCACCTAAAATGATGACAGAGGTCAGTAATTTGCACCAGAGGTACACTTCAACTGTGAGAGACAGAATGTGAAAGAAAAATCCATGAATTCACATGGTAGGATTTGTAAAGAATTTATTCGTAAATCAGGGTGGAAAATAAGTATTTGGTCACCTCAAACATGGAAAACCTCTGGCTCTCACAGACCTGTAACGTCTTCTGTAAGAAGCTTTTCTGTCCCCCACTCGTTACCTGTATGGATGGCACCTGTTTGAACTCATCATCTGTATAAAAGACACCTGTCCACAGCCTCAAACAGTCAGACTCCAAACTCCGCCATGGCCAAGACCAAAGAGCTTTCGAAGGACACCAGGAAAAGTATTGTAGACCTGCACCAGACTGGGAAGAGTGAATCTACAATAGGCAAGCAGCTTGGTGTGAAAAAATCAACTGTGGGAGCAATCATTAGAAAATGGAAGACATACAAGACCACTGATAATCTCCCTCCATCTGGGGCTCCACGCAAGATCTCATCCCGTGGGGTCAAAATGATCATGAGAACGGTGAGCAAAGATCCCAGAACCACACGGGGGACCTGGTGAATGACCTGCAGAGAGCTGGGACCAAAGTAACAAAGGTCACCATCAGTAACACACTACAACGGCAGGGAATCAAATCCCGCAGTGCCAGACGTGTTCCGCTGCTGAAGCCAGTGCATGTCCAGGCCCGTCTGAAGTTTGCCAGAGAGCACATGGATGATACAGCAGAGGATTGGGAGAATGTCATGTGGTCAGATGAAACCAAAGTAGAACTTTTTGGTATAAACTCAACTCGTCGTGTTTGGAGGACGAAGAATACTGAGTTGCATCCCAAGAACACCATACCTACTGTGAAGCATGGGGGTGGAAACATCATGCTATGGGGCTGTTTTTCTGCCAAGGGGACAGGACGACTGATCCGTGTTAAGGACAGAATGAATGGGGCCATGTATCGTGAGATTTTGAGCCAAAACCTCCTTCCATCAGTGAGAACTTTGAAGATGAAACGAGGCTGGGTCTTCCAACATGACAATGATCCAAAACACACCGCCCGGGCAACAAAGGAGTGGCTCCGTAAGAAGCATTTGAAAGTCCTGGAGTGGCCTAGCCAGTCTCCAGACCTCAACCCCATAGAAAATCTGTGGCGGGAGTTGAAAGTCCGTGTTGCTCGGCGACAGCCCCAAAACATCACTGCTCTCGAGAAGATCTGCATGGAGGAATGGGCCAAAATACCAGCTACTGTGTGTGCAAACCTGGTAAAGACCTATAGTAAACGTTTGACCTCTGTTATTGCCAACAAAGGTTATGTTACAAAGTATTGAGTTGTATTTTTGTTATTGACCAAATACTTATTTTCCACCCTGATTTACCAATAAATTCTTTACAAATCCTACCATGTGGATTCATGGATTTTTTTTTTCACATTCTGTCTCTCACAGTTGAAGTGTACCTCTGGTGCAAATTACTGACCTCTGTCATCATTTTAAGTGGGGGAACTTGCACAATCGGTGGCTGACTAAATACTTTTTTGCCCCACTGTATGTTAATCAGGCTGAACTTTAATCATACTTTAGATCAGCCTGTTTTACTTATTGTTTTATTTGTGCTTTGGTTTGGGGAAGTTGTTTCTTCACTGATCTTTTCCTGTCTTCTTGTTGCGACTTTCATCCGTAAATAAAGCCGCGGCCGGCTGAGTTGGTTGTGTCCCTGTGACGCGCCTCCAATAATCCATAATGGGTCGTACTTGTACTTTGCGCATTTATTTTAAGAACAAAACAAAAACAAACATTTGCGCTTTCAATCAATTTACAAATAGCGCATGGATTAACTGGTGTGCCAAAAAATGACGGTCAACAGAAAAAGTTTGCCCACAAACCACTCACCCAACACACCTGCTGCGAACACCGACATCAGGTAAATAGACTGTGACCACACCCACATACCATCACCTGAGACGCAGGTAAAGCTATACACCTGTGCCACCAAATCAAAAAGGAAAAACATAAACATTGACTTTGGCTCTTACACTTCTGTTATTAGACTTGAGATATGACTGCATGATGCTGTTGCTGGTGACTCCAGTTAATTCTACAAGACATGCTGTGTAAGTAAACAAACAACAACAGTTTGTCTGCATTTCTTGAAAGATCACATCCCCCAAACTTAGTTTAGAGGGTCTACACTGTATATAGTGAAGTCTGCAAGTTTTCTAACAGCAACATTTGTTTTGTTCCCAAATCATTTTGCACATCATTAGAATGAAAGTATTGGCCATGTTTGCATAGCCCTTTTTAAAATGATGCTTTCATGACATTATTGTGTGTTGGGTGGGGGTCACGGCTATCCAGACTGACAATTGGGACATTGAATGTCACCTCTCCGGTGGGGAGGGAGCCTGAGATTGTCTAAATTGGAGTCTGTTTTATACCAAATGCAGAAAAAAATGTTTTAAGAAAGCAATTAAGTTCATGTCCAAAAAATATGATTGTTTGCTTGCAGGACACCAGGAGAGATGAGTCCTCCATCACAGATGGTGTGGTCAGTGAAGATGGTCGTCTGCAGGTTCAAGCTCATTGCATCTCCAACCCACATCCACTGCCACTGTACTGAAGGGAGGTTAAAGACTTCCTCTGCACCTACATTTGGATCACCTCGATCCATGACAGTCATTCAGCAGTAATGCCTGGACTGGAAACAAGCATCCTTAAAACATTACAACATTCCAGCTCCTGTGTTGGAATGAAAAACAAATGTGTTGTTTTAATCAGAGATGCACTTGTGACAGAACAACAAATATTTATTTTGATTATGTAAGTAATGTAAGTACAAAACAAACTTATTTTCAGAATAATTACATCTGAGACTTTGTTTCATTGTAAGATTATAACAGTGATGGCGATATAACTGTTGTTCAGCAGAACAGTGTCCAGTATGTTGGCTGTTATACTTTGTTGTGTTTGAAAATAAAAGTTGGGCTGATTTTAACATCATTACAAAAAGTGTTGTTAATTATTTCTAATCATATTCAGGTTACCACAAATAGTTTTTAATTTAGTTGAACTTGAAATGTTTGTCAGTAGGTAAACAATTAGTATTGTACAGTCAGAAATATCAAGTTATTCTTAATACTGCAGACTTGCAATGATGGCTGTTGTTCTAACAGTCGTCTTAAGTAAGCTTTACTTAGTTGTTTTGAGTCAACGAGTTTCCATAATTTTTTTGAGTTCTGGGAACTAATCAGATTTTACAGTGTGGGGACTTTAACCACACCTCCCTGTCCTCCACTCTCCCCACCTTCACACAGTATGTCACCTGCCACAGCAGAGACAAAGCATTGGACTGATTGTATGCTAACACCAAGGAGGCATACAGCTCATCA